GTGGATGTGGTGCCAAGCCTCGCAGATCTCACGTGCGTCTTCCTGACAGATCTTTGTGGTTGGTCCTCCAGCGGGTCACCTTTATGGCTTCGGCGTTCGTCGACGTTTTGGAGAAACATCGGACCACAAGAGGCAGTATTTGGCGGGTGGTACATACACACGCCGGCCGTGCTGTTCACAGCAGAGAACGATACCGTCCAACGCTTAGAGAGATTCAACGAGGACTTCGTCCTTTTGAGCCCCGTCTTCGGCTCGTCCTCAGTGGTCAGGTATCTTTCTTTTGTGAGCGCGATGTACCGCCAGGGCCAAGGGAGCCTGCGGCTCGAAGGCTGGAGCAACAACATGTGGACACAGCTGTGGGCGACTAGGCCAGATTCATCTACGTCGTGGGCATGGGCGCTTGTGAGGCTACCCCTTGAAGTTGAGGCCTTGCGCTTCATTGGAGTCACTGGCATCGTTCAGGACAGTGACACGGCCCTGGACACAATCTATGGGGCAGTCCCAACTCTAACGTTTGACGACAATATCCTTTCTTGCGATTTCGAGTGGGATGGCGGTTGTTTTTGGCTTGACTTTGGTGTTACTGCCGCATGGCGGCGTACCAATGTGCAAGCCCAAAGCACGTGTCAGGTGACGGCTGAAAACGCAGACTCAGGGGACTGGTGGCTTGAAGCTTCCGGGAGTTCCCAAGCACCTTTCATCTTGGAGACTGCACCTTTCACCAGCATGCTCGTCGAGATGAAGGCCCTGGAATTTGCGTATCAGCTGGTGGGTTCAGCGTCATTGGAGGTGGAGATGCAGACCGCGGCAGGCTGGCAGAGCCTTTTTCTGGAGTCGGGCGGCGATGCCACGTGGCGCAGGGGCTATGTCCATTTGCCTGCAGGTACCACGGGCATTCGTTTCGTGGCTCGAACGACAGCCTTGCAGGATGTGGTCAAACTCGACTCAATCTCGCCAGTGAAGCCAACATCCCCCGTTGCGCGATTGGAGGATATCAGCTGCGACTTTGAGGACCCCCTGTTTTGCGGATGGTCGGGTGACACCCGCTGGCGCTACCATAGTGGTCCCAGCAACGATTTCCTTTCCGGCACGGGCCCGGACAGGGCCTTCCGAGAGGACTTCTACGTGTACACCGATTTCTCAGAGTCTACGGAGCCAGGCACCTTCACCAGCCCCAGCTTCCCCAGACTTGCCAGCGAGTGCTACCTCGAGTTTGCGTGCCATATGCTTGGGAGTGGCATTGGTGACCTGGAGCTCCAGTATCTCGCAGGAAGCACCTGGTGGACGCTATGGTCCCGAACAGGCTCCCAGGGCTCAGACTGGTTTCAGAGCAAGGTGCTGCTGCCGATCGGCACGGAAATGCTGCGCTTCCGTGTTTCCAACACTATCAACGATGATTCCCACATAGCCCTAGATGCACTAGTTGCCTGGCAGCCCGAATCCTCCTCACGGTTCCTGTCTCTCGCATCCGGTGGCTACCACAACTGCGCGCTTCACAGAGCCTCTGGCGAAGTGAAGTGCTGGGGCGATGGGAATTATGGGCGTTTGGGCCGTGGTAGCGATGAGTCGGTGGGCACAGGCCCTGAGCAAATGGGCGCATGGCTGCCACCTGTAGACCTGGGCGAGGGTGCCCGAGCCACGCAGATTTCTTGTGGCTATTTTCATTCCTGCGCCGTGCTTGAAGGTAAGGGCTTGAAGTGCTGGGGAGCCAATTCGGAGGGACAACTGGGCCAAGGCCACACAAGGACCGTCGGGGATTCCCCGGGCGAGATGGGAGCGAACCTGCCTGTGGTGGACCTAGGCAGCGATGCAGACATCAAGCAGGTCGTCCTTGGTGTTCTTTACACCTGCGTTCTTCTTGATGGCGGGATTGTGAAGTGTTTCGGGCAAGCCCCTGCTTATGGAGACACAGTTAGCCGTGGCTCGATTCCGGGCAAGATGGGGGAGAACCTCCCGGCCATCGACCTTGGCACGGACTTCGACGTGGTGCAGCTGACGTCAGGCGCGGATCACACTTGCGCATTATCCCGCCAGGGTAATGTCAAGTGCTGGGGTTTGTTCGATGCACGCCTCGGACTCGGACTCCGGACCGGCTATCACCTTGGTGGTTCTTCTAACCAGATGGGAGACCACCTGCCTGCCCTGGATTTGGGGCCTGTGGTGCAAATTGATGCTGGGTTTTGGCACACTTGCGCCTTGCTGGCCAATGGCTTCGTGCGGTGTTGGGGCCGGAGCGCTAATGCGGAGCTGGGCCATGGTGGCACAGAAAGTTTCGGCGATGAGCCAGGCGAGATGGGCGACAGCCTTCCCTTCACACGGCTGGGAGATGGACTGATGGCTGTTCGGGTTGCGGCTGGTGGTGCTCACAGCTGCGCTTTGCTGCAAGATGCGTCTGTAAAATGCTGGGGCTGGGGAGTGAACGGCCAGCTTGGCCAGGGTAGCACTGACACTTTAGGCGACGAGCCTTGGGAGACGGGCAATGCACTGCGCGCTGTCAATCTGGCTAACCGCAGAGTGCTGGACTTGAGTCTTGGATTTGCGCACACTTGCGTGGTGCTGGACGATGACAGCACGAGGTGCTGGGGATCCAACTCTCTTGGCGAGTTGGGCATCGGCACCACAACCAACGTCGGCGCGATAGCTGGTCAGATGGGCACAGCGCTGCTAGCCACAGAGCTTTTCCCTGTGATGCCTGGCGCTGAGCTTGAAGGTTTCATCTTGACGGGCGATGGCAGTCTCCACGTCCAGTACAATGGCTCCCTTGGGCTCGTCTGCGACGACGGCTTCGATGAGGCCGCCGCGCGTATCGCCTGTCGGGACTTGGGCATGGCCGGGGGCGTCGCCTTTTCAAGCCCTGTAGAAACCGGCGATATCTTTGCAGACAACGTGCGGTGCCTGGGCAGCGAAGTAAGCCTGCGACAATGCCGTTTCCGAGGGTGGCATTTGCACGACTGCACCCCGCAAGAAGCCGTCGGACTCCAGTGTGAGATGGATGCATGGAGCGACTACACAGTTGCCGGGCCTGCTGAGCGACAGGACCACTCCATGGTCTGGGACCAGAAGACGCAGTCCACGGTGATGTTTGGTGGCCATGCCTCCAGCGCTTTTCTCTACTACGCGGACCTTTGGATCTACCACTGGAATCTGAGAACCTGGACGCAGATCTTGCCCCAAGGCCAAGGGCCCGGCACCAGATCAGGCCACGTGGCCGTTTGGGATGCAGTGTCGAAATCCATGTTGGTCTTTGCAGGAAGGTACCTTGGCACCTTCTATCAGGACATCTGGCGCTTCTACCTCGAGACGAGCTTCTGGGCCAGGGTGTCGGTGGCGCAAAACGTCCCCGCAGCCCGTGCTTACCATTCGGCCATCTGGGATGACGAAGCACGGGCCATGATCACTTACGCTGGAGAGAACAGAGCAGCAGTCCTGAACGATCTCCAACGCTTCAGCTTGGACCAGGAGTCATGGACAACCTTGGCAGAGGGGCCGGGGGCTCGAAGCAGACACACGGCTGTGTGGGATGCTATGACAAAGTCCATGCTTGTCTTTGGCGGGTGGACGGGAGAGCAATACTTGGCCGAACTGCACCGGTACGACGCCTGGGCGAACACCTGGGAGGCACTTCTTGTCCGAGGCTCAGGATTCTGGCCCAGTCCTCGCGGCGGGCACTCTGCTGCCTGGGATCCTGTGTCCATGAGCATGCTGGTTTTCGGCGGCATCCAGAACACGACTTCCACCGACTCGACCGACTCGAGCCTCAGCTACGATGCAAGACTCTTCAACTACACGCTTCTGACTGGTGTCTGGACGGAGGAGGGCCTGCGAGCCTCAGTCCCAGGTCCGAAGGGTCGCACCGGCCAGGCCATCGTTTGGGACCAGGAGTCTCGTGGACTTATCTCCTTTGCCGGCTTCAACTCCTCCTACTTGAGTGGAACCTGGCGTTACGTGGTGAGCCAGACGCAGCCTCCGTTGCTGGCGAGGTGTCATCTGGGCCAAGAGTGCACACCTGCTCAAAACGACAGCATACTGGCTTCAGCGACTGCAAAGCATGCCTGTTCCGATCCCGAGGCTTTAGACACCCACGACGACTCGGGTGGCTTAGACAATCACTCAGGTGCATCACCCCTCTTCATCGAGCCAGGACACCACCGTTTCTGCGGGTGCGATGCAAACTGCAGCCATCCAGCGGATTTTCAATTTGATCTGGGCTACTTCATCGTGGAAGGGCCCTACCTCAACCAGTCCGCTCAGTGCGACCTCGGCTCCGTGTGCATCATCTCCGAATGGCGTGGAGTGGGCATTGCGGTGAACGACAGCGTGATTTTGCAAAGCAAGTGCAGGACCAAGGAGGCATCTGCCCATCATCGCCGCGCCGACATCTCCTTCAACGAGTCCATGAGCTGGTTCGAGCTGCATGTGGGCTTTTTGGACAACGGGATCGGGCCCCAAGTTGTGGAGCTTTGCTGGTGCCCGGCTAGCCGGCCATGTGCGTCTGCAGAGGACTTTTTGGCCACGGCCCTGCAACTGCGTCTCGTTTGCCCACCTGGGCAGTATGAGCTCTCTGAGGCATGCCAGGCCTGTCCTGTGGATCACTACTGTCCCGGCGGTGAGCAGCTCTACAGCTGCCCAGCCGCCAGCACGGCCCCGGCCGGCTCAAGCCAGCTCAGCGACTGCAAATGCCTGAAAGGGCGCTACTGGGATGCCGCCGCCTGCCGACTCTGCCCTGCGGGATCGACAACCTCAAACGAAGGAGCTCGGGGCCAAAACGCCTTCGGAGTTTAAAGCAGACCTCGGGACTCAGAACATCTAAAGTCTAGCAATCTAACTATGCTTGAACACTTCGGTTCAAACGGATCTTCTTTGTAGCCATTTAAACACGTGGGCGCTTTGAACAGCGTTGCAGCCTGCTTTGTCTAAACACCGTAGATGCTTGAAGAGGTTAAACCTTAAGCCTTAAGACACAACCCTAAGGAGCTACAGCCTTGGCTTCCTGCACATGCATGCCGGGCTATGTCAACATCCAACCTGAGGAGCCTTCGGCATGTGAAGAGTGTGGTCTCGGATTTTTCTGCATGGGCGGTACGCACAAGCAGCCCTGTGCCCCCTCTAAGACCACGGCGGGTCCTACAGCTGGTGATGAATCCCAGTGCCTGTGCATGGCGGGCACCTTCCCCCAAGACGATGGACATTGTGTTCCTTGTGCAGTTGGCCATTTCAAGGACAGCATTGGCAATGTGCCTTGCTCTGAGTGCGGCCCTGGAACGTTCAGCAACACCACAGGGGCCACCGTGGAGTGCGAATGCAGTTATGGCTACGGTTACGACGACGCAGAAGCTGGCTGCATAGCCTGCCCAGCAGGTGAGTACAAAGCAAGTGTGGGGAATCTCCGGTGCGACAGGTGCTCTGTTGACAAGTTGTCTGTGGAGGCTGCTACCTCAGTGCTGGACTGCCTTTGCCGGCCGGGGACGACAGCAGAAGATGATGGCTGCCGTGACTGCTCACCGGGCCACTTTTGCAACGGCACTGGAGAGGAGCTGCACCGCCCGACGGGCTCAACTTCACCCGCTGGCTCAAGCGACGAGCTTGACTGCCTTTGCTTAGAAGGGCACTACAGCTTGCAGTCTGGCTCGCGGCTTAGCTGTGAACCGTGCCAAGCCGGGCGCTATAAGCCCACCACTGCCAATCAGCAAATCTGCCCCACTCAGTGCCCTACCAACTCCGACAGCCCAAACGCATCCACGAGCCTGTCTAACTGCTCTTGCGTGGCTGGGTTCTATGCAGAGCTTGATGAAGACGGCTTCTTGGTTCGTTGTGCCAGTTGCTTTTCCTTCACTCACCTTAGCTGTTCTGGCGGATTTTACGAGCAGACAGACCGTCACCGCCTTCCCGTCGCACGACCTGGCTATTTCCAAACGGCCCCCACCACCGCCATCAAGTGCAACGTCGTCATGGACGATGAGCTTAGTGCTTGCCTGGGAGGCGGTTCGTGTGCAAACGTTAGTGAGGGACCAGACTGCATGGGGAAGTATGGCAATGTCTGCGTGGAAGGCTCCACGGGCTTCCTTTGCGGAGAGTGCCCGCCTGGTTGGGCGAGGAACTATTGGAAAGACCCCTGCAGATTATGCATGCCAGCCAGCTGGTCACTGATCCTGTCAGTTCTATTTGATGTTGGCACGAAGGTGATCCTAAACTTCGTCGTCACATCTTTGGCGGCCACGGCTGCAGTTCGTGGCAGTGGCAAGCTACATGCCATAATGATCCGCATTGCTACACAGTGGTTGGCTGCCTGCTCCGTCGTCGCGACCTTGGATCTGGACCAGATGTCGCCTTTGCAACTGCGGGACCTTAATGGCCCGGAAGGTGAAGTCGGCTTGTTTGCATGGCCGGTGGAAGTGACTGTCGCAATGCTGCGTTTGTTCGAGTTTCTTACTTTGACGCCTGTTCTCACCACCGTCGACCTGGATGCCCAATGCTTCTCGCAAGAAGTCTCCGAGAACCCAGCCGCGCCACGAATCGCCCTCGGCATCTACTACCTCTCGCTGCCCTTGCTAGTGATGCTGGGCTCAGTCCTGCTGTCCTGGGCAGCGGTGCGATTGCTGGTCCCGCTGGCGAACCGAATCGGGTTTCCCTTCAATGAGGCTGGGCGCCGCCGGCACAAGCGGACCAAGGCTTTGGAGGAGTTGCTTCGGGCCATCCAACCCGAGCTGCGCAGTGCCCAAGTAGACCTGTCCTGGGAAGAAATCGAGGCCTCGAAGGCGCTTTTGATCCCCGTGGCTGAGCTGGAGAGTGCTGCCGCAGAGCCGGGCGCGTTTCTTCGCAGGGCGGTGGCCGACTCCCCATCTTTGCTTCTTCGCGCCTGCACGCTACGCGCCAGGGCCACCGGGGTCGACCTCAAGGCCGCCCAGTGTCTTAGCCCCGTCTTTGCCCCAAAAACATCATAGGTCATATAGGGGTAGTATAGTTTCGTGAAGTATACATCGAACACCACCCTCATGGATAAATGCGGTTTGCAGGCACCAGCACTGGACCTTTCTTTGGGGAGGGAGTTGGCCACTGGAGCCTCCGACTTTGCCGGCCTGCTCGACCAAGTGCTGGCATCCAATGGTGCCCCCGTCGCCAACACCTTGATCATTCACGACCCGGTCGCCGAGGATACTATCACTGATCACGACTTCGAGATCCAGGAGGCACGCAGGTGTTTGGGTCAGTGGGCAGCATGTGGTCGTTGTCAAAAACGACAGAAAGGATATTTTGTGCCGTGGTCGTTCAGGACCCGGCCGCGGAGGATGCTATCACTGATCACGACTTCGAGATCCAGAACGAGGCACGCGGGTGCCCGGGTCTGTGGGCAGCATGTGGCCGATTTCAAAAAGGACAGAAAGGATATTTTGTGCGGCGGTCGTTCAGGACCCGGCCGTCGACGATGCCATCATTGACCACGACGGCGAGATCGAGGACAAGGCCCAAGGGGGTCCAGTTCTTCATATGGGCAACACGTGGCAGTTTTTGGTAGAGACGACTTTCGCGGCTACACGGGTTCAAGAATATCGAGGATCTGCGCACGCATACGACCGAATACCGTAGGTATCCCAGCAGCCACAATGTGAGTTTGCCACCTAAGCGATTGCCTGGTGTGCACCTGGCTTCTGGTTTTGCCTTTTGGCATCTCCTTGCCATCAACAGTAAAGCTTTGAACTCGAGGCCTGTGATTTTTCAAGATCCGCCGCACAATGCATTGGAAGAGGTTTGGGGAATGGATGACCCTAGGTTTCCTTCGCCAGATGTACTTGTTTGTTTTCTGAGTTTATGCAAGTGCCAGCCCCGCGTGAAAAACAACTTAGGTCTTGTTTGCGGCATTGGGTTTTTGGTTCAACCCTCAACTTGTCGATAGGTGTCGCAGCAGTGCCGTGCGTCCGAAACATCCGCAACAATCTCCGACACGTGTGTCAACCAGTCTTGGTACTCCAAAATGCCCTACGGTTCCTGGTTCAACCTGCTCGGGAAATGAGGATTGCTCACTGCCTTGCAACCGCAGCTTGGATGAATCCCCTTGCGACTCGGGGCCTCGCGGACACAGCAACGGGGCAGTCTGTTCCATGGTTGCCATTCGCTGCGCCAACAACGGTTGCTTTGACTCCAACAAGAGCATCCAGTACTGTCGATGAGTCACGAGGGCAACAAGACACAGTCGCATTGAGTTCATAACCAGCCAAACTCCTCAGCCTCCAACGAGGCTGAGGCTTGGGATGAACTATGTGGTTCATTTTTCCTCATGTGTGCTCCGGCGTACAGCTGCCCTGCAGACTTTTTCTGGCAGCTATTGAAAACTTCATTTCCGAAGACCGTCTGCTTGAATGAGTCGACAACGCACGATGTTTACCCGTTCAAACAAGCTGCCTTGGTATGTCATCACCGAATGCAGACGTCAATGAACTATGTGCCCACCGTGGCCACTAGATATGCATCAAACAAGCACGAACCGCTCACAGAAACAATATCTACATCTGCCAGATCCAGTACTGAACGAGCGAGCCTAGACAATGAAACATGTGCCAAAAACCAGGTTCAGCATGCCAATAACTTCAGGACTCATACCAGCGTCGAACGAGGGCCAGACACAGTCAAGCTACAAACGCCGGCGACAAAGCCAGGCTTCAAGACTCGGCTGTGAATCGTAGGCTGGCTGCCCGATGTGGAGGATCGGAAGAGTACCAACAAGGGCCATGCAGTCTTGCTGTATGAGGTTCTCAAAACGGAAGCCGACCGCCTCGCAAGCTAGAATTGCTTGTTGGACATGCTGTTAAGCAAGACCTGAGCAACATCTAGCAGAGGATGCCAGCAACGTGGCCCCTGAGCGTTGTATCACTAGCAGTTTCCCTGCTTCTACTCCGAGGGCCCTTAGCACAATAGCCAAAGAAACACATCGAGCGAGAAAGTCCTCGTTGCAACTTGGGTCAAAGCCTCATGCCAACGAGCCTAGCACCTAGCTTTAATTCGTTGCTTCATGCTGGTTGAAATGACCAGCACACCGCATGTTCCAGTAGGTCCTTCTAGCAACAGCGCACTGATGGATTCTTGGTTAGCGCTGCCGTGCTTTCAGTGAGTTCGTGACAGTGTGTCATGTGCGATGGTACTTCAAGAGCACTGGAAAACACGTAGTAACAGAAATTCGGCATGAATTCAAGCACTGTCATTATTTTCTGCTTCAAGTGGAAACCTTCTACAGCGTCGTCGCTTTGCCATCATGTAGTGGCTGAGTAGACCCAACTAGTTCTTCGTCCAAGAAACATGTCGGGAAGCATAGATCTGCACATGCCACAACACTTGCAGAAGGTGTGTGTGTGTGCCTTACTGATACTTCGGACCCTGTGCTGGCAGGACCGGAAACAGCCAGACTCTACTACAGAGAGCCTGAAAAAGCTGCCCGTGACGAGTGAGACGAAGGTGCGGGATCTGCGAAACAGCACCGCTGCTCAGCTCGACATGGACTATGATGTCGACGAGGCTATGGACAGGTTGGACTTTGGACTTTTCTCCCCGAACGCTTCGTTTGGCGAGATACTGTACCAGTGCCTGCCCGTCGCATGGGTGGCTGTCGTCTCGCTGTGGCCTGGGCTGTTGTCCAGCTTCCTGCGCATGATTTGGTGTGTCCCCATCCGGGAGGAGGATGTCGTCAGCCTTCGCCTCGTCCCGAATCCGGATGTGGTCTGCTGGTCCAGTGAGCACTTCCCCTCCGCCGCACTGGCCGTTGCTGGCCTCGTGGTGTGGTGCCTGGGCATTCCACTGGTTTTGGCTGCAAAGCTGAGTATGGAAGATCGCGCGTCTCCGGACAAGCACAGGCAGTTCGGCTACTTTTACCAGGGCCTCGAGCTACGCTACTGGTGGTGGGACATACTTGTGAAGAGGGCGGACGTCCTCTTAATGATGCTCGTCACCTACACCTCCGTCGTCCGTGAGCCGGAAGCCAAGGTACTGCTCTTTCCGCTCCTCTCAGGCCTCCAGGCCTTGCTGGCTGCATGGGTCAAGCCCTATGCGAACGACCAGGCTCAGGTCCTGGACGTTGTGGAGGTGATGCTCTCCACAATCCGCTTCCTGCTTTTCGGCGCTGTGGCTGCGATGCTCATTTTGAACACCGATTCCTTCACCACCCGCATAGTTGCTTACATACTCTTCTTGGTACTTCTGCTGGCGTGCGCCTACTTCTTCGCGCACCTTGCTTCTCAGATGCTGCGGGATGCAGTCGTGGCCCCGCCCAAGCGAGCAAAGTCGTTGGCGAGGAGATGGCTGGCTGCGGCGCAACGCTTTGCTCTCAACCTTTTCCTGCCTCTTTTGAGAGGGGAGGCCGAGGAGGAGATGTTGAGGCTCACATGGTCTTTTGGAGCCAATCACGTCACAACTAGGAAGCGCCCTCGAAGCTTCAGAAAATCATTCCAGAATGTGGGCTCCAACATGAAGCTTGGTCTTCAGCTGGTGCGAGATACAGTACTTCGCACGGGGCCGCAGTTCCAGCATTTGGTGCTCTACAACGCCAACGACGAGTTCGTAGCTTTCTGGCTGCAGCAGCTGAATCAGGATGAACTACCTGGTCCTGGAGTCATATGCTCCTTGGCCACGGCTCATGCGAGCCTTCCGAGCCTGATCGCCAGATATCGCATCGGCGGCTTGTGGATGCAGCAGCTGAATGCCTTGACAAGTCAAGAAGGGCCCTTCACCTGCACTCCGCCAGACCTGCAGCGGGCCATTCGGCGCATGAGCCAGATGCCGCAAGCCGATGCCGTGGAGTTGGTACAGCATGCCATGGGCCTTTTTGCAGAAGCTTTCGTCGACGACCACTTCGAACTGTGAACCAGCCTTTGAAAGTCTGAGGCCTCTGGGGAGTTTGTTTTTTTGGGCGGATGCCTTTGCAAAGAAGAGGGGACTTTAGAGTCTTTCGGGTTCTGCTGGATATATGACGTGGGCCCATCAGGATCTTCAGTTTCCCAGAGCTTCAACAGCGTATCCCACAGGTTAGCGCGTAAGATGATGAAGATCGTGAGTACCTAGCCTTGAGCATCTCGCCACGATGTGCCGAGGGGGGGTCTCAAACAAGCCTGTGGAGAAAGGGGACGAGACTATTTCGCCAAAACGCATGCATGGTTTTGTCATGGTCGTTTCATCAGGAGTTCGCGCAGTCTCCTTTTTTCCGCACCGTTTAGAATTTGAGTATTTGGTCGGCCTCGGTCTGAAGGATTCAGAGGTCAGACAACTGTCATCTGGTTTGTTTGCTGCTCCGCGTCAGAGGAGCTGACAAGTTGATGCATGCCTTCGCCTGCCAGTGGCACCGGCTCCATATTGGTTGCTTTCCCGAAATTATGTTTATCAGCTCCTTGAACAGCGTATCCCACAGATTAGCTTTATAACCTGGAATTGTGGTAATCGCTGGGGCCGATGTCAGGAACAACTTATGTGATTTAAGTGTGTTTTAATTGTGCTTGGCATGTGTCGAAAATTTGTGAAAATTCGTGAACAATCTGTGAAAATCTTTGCCTCCCCCTTCTCCCCCACCCACAACAACTGTCCTGGTTTGTTTGCTGCTCCGCGTCAGAGGAGCTGACAAGTTGATGCATGCCTGCGCATCTAATGATCTAATGCTGCCAGTGGCACGGCTCCATATTTGTTGCTTTCCCGAAATTATGCTTGTCAGCTCCTTCAGCAGCGTATCCCACAGATTAGCTCGTAAGAGGATGAAGATCGTGAGTACCTAGCCTTGAGCATCTGGGGTCTCCAACAAGCCTGTGGAAAAAAGGGATGAGACTATTGCGCCAAAATACACACAGGGTTTTGTCATGGTCGTCTCATCAGGAGTTCGCGCAGTTTCCCTTTTTTCCGCACCGACTTAGAATTTTAGTATTTGGTCGGCCTCGGTCTGAAGGATTCAGAGGTCAGACAATCAAAGTCAGACACCGGTCTGCCTGCAACTTCTCTCTTCATGCCTGGATTCCAGTACTCAGTGCTTTGAGGCGCCTGTTGACATGTCGTGCCCCTGTGGAGTACGACTCGTGGCTTGGGTGTCGTCTCTGTTTTGGCTTGATGTGTGCTCTGACGCGGTTGTCGATGGGCTCACTTATGTCAGGATTAAGGCACTGCACCTTCGGGGTGGTCCTGAATATCTGGCTTTGGTTATATGCTGCTGTGAACCTTGGCAAGAAGATCGAGTGCGGGACGATGGAAGATCGGAGCGATTCGCCCCGATTCGCTTGTCTGGGTGAGTACAATGGTCTCAATGCATATGTTCTTGAAGGATGCTGGCTTTGTCGCTTCTGTTGGGCATAATTATTGTATGAAGTTTACGTCATCCGAATGCATGTGTGGATATGGTCTTGCCTGGCATCCTTGAAATCGTAGTTATCATGAGCACACTAGTTGTCGCGAAGCCGCGACTGCTTTGTGCGATTGAGAGTCGTTGCGGGGGGTACTTGCTCGAAGCAGTTCTCGAGTCCCCCCCACCCCCTTGGAGCCGCCCAGTCATGCCTCAGAATGTCTTCCCTTAGCCCTGCCTCTCTTCGTGTGCCCTACGCCTGGCACAATTTCGGCAGCATAGCAAATGCACAGCGTGAGGCGGTGGAGATGACTGAGGCTTTCGAGCAAAAGATTCCAGCTCACAAGCTTGTCACAAACAGGGTTTAGGGTTTAGGGTTTAGGGCAATGGAAGTAAATCTGTGTGTGGAGCTGGCAATGCGTGCATTACAGAAGGCCCGATAGAGCCAGTTTCGAAATCATGACAGCTTGAACCTAGCGGCAGTGTCAAATTTGCATGACGCTGAGCTCAGCCGGCTCAACCCAGGCCGTCAACAGCAGCGCAACTACATCTGGCGGAACCTTGAAATCATGGACTTGCTTCCCCCACGCAGAGGACAACATCTATGGACAAACACATTCATATTGAGTCATAGATGTTGTGGATCGCAAAGCACCTACAAGATATGTCATCTATTCCCAACAAGCACGCAGGTACTTTCATCTTGCCAATCATGAAGAAACTCGCACCCGTCCTATGCAAACTAGATGTGAATCTCTGTTTGAACACGTTTGTACCCCTCCCCCACGGAGAGTTCGAACCTGCGTTGAATCCAGATTCGAACCCCCCCCTTCCCCGGTACCTTGCTTGTGGAGGTGACTTCTCAGGAGGCAGCTGGCAGCCGGCTGGCGCCCGGCGGGAGTGAGCCGGAGTGAGGCGCAAGCGGCCGAACGCCGATTGGTGCGCCTGTTGGAAAAGATCGGCGGGATGCGTGGAGTGATTTGGGAGTCGGAGAAGAGCCGCTTGCAATGGCAAGGTTCATCTACAATCGCTCCCGGCGTGACATCTAGATTGAAGACGTGTTGCCAAAATTGGAAGCAGCATGTTGGGACATGAGCCGAGATTAGTTGTTGTTTCGTTCGATTTAACGAAAACATTGTTCGTGGTTTGAGATTCGTTGGTGACACGCATGTCGGTTCATTGGCAAGACTGCCGACCTTGAGTACGCCGCACGCAGATCAGCCGCAGATATCTAGTATGAGATGGAGCTTGGATGTTTGGATTGCATCATCATCGTCGTCGTCGTCGTCGTCTCGATTTCCATCATGATCGTCCTCCCCATCTTATGGTTTCATGTTGGTAGCCAGAGTCAAGGAAAAGAGGGCAAAAATCCTTAGTTCCATGTTATTCACGTTGGATCGGAACTGAGCAGATGGATTTGGAGATGTAGCTCCTTGTCACGAAACCGCAAACGCACCGTAACCCACAGTTTGCGGCTCCAGGTCATGGTCAGCAAGAGGGCACCAAGAATCATCCAAGCGTTAGGAATCCCGATCCCTGAAACGCTTGGGCATTGTGGCTGCAGTTCTTATCGCCCCACGTCCAGCCCCTTTTTATCACCCCAAGTCTCTGGTGTACTTGACGCCAGATTCGTTGATGAGCCACGTTTGGCAGCCATGCCATGGTAGCGATCACCATCCGCAACTTGCTTCTGCTTGTCTTCTTGGCGGTGCTATGCGGCTCACAGGCCCGGGGTTCGGAAGTTCCCCGAAACCCTACACCATCCGAAACCCACCTAAACCACTTAACCACTAAACCCGAAACCTTAAACCTTAAATCCTAAAACCGAAGCCCTCAGTCCTAATTCCTAAGCCTAAACCCTATGCCAATGCCACGAACCCTAGACCCTCAACCCTGAGCCCTCAACACTCGATCCTAAACCCTCCTCAACCCCGAAACCCTAAATCCTAAACCCGAAACCCTTTCTAGGTGCACAGGGTTGTCCAAACAAAAACCGAAACCCTAAACCCTAACCCCCTAAGCCCACCTTAAAACCTAAACCCGAAACCCGAAAACCCTAAACCCTAAACCCTCAACCCCAAAACCCTGAGCCCTCAACACGCGTGTTGCGAGGATACGCCGATCACTGGGATCCTGGCAGCATCTCCTGAGCTGTCGACAGTGTTTCCAGGCAGAATTTCAGAGGCCGTTCTTTCCTTTACAGGGTTTAGGGTTTAGGGTTTAGGGTGTAGGGTTTAGGGTTTAGGGTTTAGGGTTGAACGCCTTGGGTTTTAAAGTTAGGTGTTGGACCCCGACCATCTCCGACCATGGGGTTTTAGGGTAGATCAGCCGGCAAGCAAAGGTATAGCGCGATCAGATTGGCCAACTTGAACTTTGTGCTGGAAGGTGGGGATCTTTGCCCACGTTGCGACCTGGTCCCATGAACAGAGTTGTAAGGCTGACTGCTGCTGAAGGCGCTTGGTACTTGACAGACCCGAAACCCTAAACCCTAAACCCTAAACCCTAACCCCTAACCCCTAAACCCTAAACCCTAAACCCTAAACCCTAAACCCTAAACCCTAAACCCTAAACCCTAAACCCTTTGGCAGGAGTGGGTCCTTTCACATTGTTTGCCCCGACCAACCTGGCGTTTCGGCTCCTGGGTCCCGGCGTTGCGGCATCCCTGATCCATGGCCTTTAGGGTTTAGGGTTTAGGGTTTCGGGTTTAGGGTTTAGGGTTTAGGGTCGCACATTCCATGCGTTCTGCAGCTTGCGACCTGAAGCTCTGGAGTCAGAGCAAAGCCACGTATGGTGATGTGACATAGAGGTGAAATGGGCAGATGTTTTGTTTGGAACCTGCGCGGCCCCCAAGGACACATCAGGATAACATGGCCTATCTGACCCAGGCGGGATTGCAGCGGCTGACATGTGGGAGTTTACGATCATAAGGGGCCCTTACTATGTAGGATTCTCTTAACATAAGGACCCCAATATGGTGCCCTTACTGACGCCTAATATAACCCCCAAAATGGTAGGATCCCCTGGTCATGAGGCCCCCAATACGGTACCCCCCAATATCGTGAATATTCCCTAAACCCTAAACCCTAAACCCTAAACCCTAAACCCTAAACCCTAAACCCTAAACCCTAAACCCTAAACCCTAAACCCTAAACCCTAAACCCTAAACCCTAAACCCTAAACCCTAAACCCTAAACCCTAAACCCTAAACCCTAAACCCTAAACCCTAAACCCTAAACCCAAAACCCAAACCCTAAATATGTCCGTGGCCACAAGCCTTGTCGGGGGGCAGGTGTTGCAGTACCACGTGTGCTACGGCAATACAGTCAGCCAGCAGCTCCTTCCGGGGCAGGAGCGGATGCATCAGCACATCTAAGTGTGTAGGGTTTAGAGTTTGGGGTTTGGGGGTTTAGGGTTTCGGGTTTAGGGTTTAGGGTGACTCCTGCAATATTCCTGCGTGCGCTGTGTCCAGGAGCTTTCCACCTTCGAGGAGGGGAGGGGGTGGGCGCCAAGCTCTAGGTGTTTAGGGTTTAGGGTTTAGGGTTTAGGGCTTAGGCTTTAGGGTTTAGGGTTTAGGGCGTGCGTTTGCTGTCGTCCCGGGTCTAGCAAGATGGCGACCTCAATGCTCTGCGTTGCGACATTGCTGGGTGGGTGCAAGCTGAACCCTAAACCCTAAACCCTAAACCCTAAACCCTAAACCCTAAACCCTAAACCCTAAACCCTAAACCCTAAACCCTAAACCCTAAACCCTAAACCCTAAAGCCCTTAAGCCCTTAAGCCCTTAAGCCCAAAACCCATAAACGCCTCTGGAACCCTACAGCCCTAAAACTCTAAACCCAAAAAACCCTACAACCCTAAGCCCGTAAGATCCTAACCCCCTAAAACCCTAAACCCTAAACCCCTAAGCCTCTTGACCCCGAAACCTTGAAGCCCGTGATCCAAAGTAGGGAAGACCTGTGAGTAACCCTAAGCCCTAAGCCCTAAGCCCTAAACCCTCAACCCTCAACCCTCAACCCTCAACCCTAAACCCTAAACCCTCAACCCTAAACCCTAAACCCTAGAAAGTGGAGAGCTGTGAGTTGAGTCGCCACGCGAGGGTGAGCGCCTGACGGTGAATGCGGTGACGCCTTTCACAGTGCCCCTCGCCGTTGGTGGATTCTTCTAAGTAGGCCCTCTTTTGAGATCTTAGGATTTTCTGGCTCTGGGGTTTAGGGTTTAGGGTTTAGGGTTTAGGGTTTAGGGTTTAGGGGTGTCGGGGGCCTGGGGTAACTCGGGATCTTCGGCACCCCGACTCAGGAATGACGTGCCCATCTCCCGGCAAGATTTGTTGGCAACCAACGGGTTGGTCCACACGATGAATCGAGCACGGGCCTCAAGTAGGTCTGTTTTGTGAACCTATGTGAAGCAGGGTTTATATTACTGTTATTGGTGAGTGTATACAAGGTTCCTAAATATAAAGCCTACTTCATGTAGGCAGAAGCTCACCTGGCAATTCTTCTGGAAATCTCAGGTGTTTTTGCCTCCGAACTTTGCACTTCCGGATCCTACCATGGACATTGTGCCTGGGACGCATCCGAAACATGGGAGTTTGTTCGGGCGCTTTGTGCACATTTGACCTGGATCTGTCACCGCAGGTTCAACTTGTCGCGAGTGAGGATTACTTGACCACCATGAATGAGGTGCAGCGCGAACCTTAAAACCCTAAAACCCCCAAACCCCCCCCCCCCCCCCCCACCCAAAAAAAAAAACCAAAAAACCCGAAAAAACCTAAAAGCCCCAAACCCCTCAAACCCTAAAACCCTAAAAACCTTAAGAGCCCCTGAAAACCCTACAGCCCTAGCTCTTCGGCTTTGCACGGTATGTCCCCTCACAGGCGATACTGTTGGCAGAGCTGGAGAGTACACTGAAAGCTTCGGGGCCTTTGACGGAGACTTCGCCAAAAAGCAAAACTTTTTTTATTATGATTGTTATTCTGCTTCTTTTTCTCCTAACCCCAACCCTAAACCCTAAACCCCAAACCCTAAACCCTAAACCCTAAACCCTAAACCCTAGACCCTAAGCCCTAAGCCCGAAGCCCTAAGCCCTAAGCCCTAAGCCCTAAGCCCTAAGCCCTAAGCCCTAAGCCCTAAACCCGAGTCATTGCAGGTCTTCGTTCCGACCAACACGGCCTTTGAGAATCTGGGCCCCGGGATCGCCACCTCTTTGCTGCTTCCCCCAAACAAGAAGAAGCTGGAGGAGGCCCGGCTTTAGGGTTTAGGGTTTAGGGTTTAAGGTTCAGGGTTGTCTTGCTTGGGAAGGTGAGCTTTGTGTGATGAGATTTGAGATGGGCTCTGAAGCATAAACCCTGGCCCCTGAACCCCAAACCCATGATTTCTGGTCTTTCGGGTTTCGGGCTTTGGGCTTAGGGGCAGAATTGGAGGAAGAGGATGTCGAGCGCTCTAAACCCTAAACCCTAAACCCTAAACCCTAAACCCTAAACCCTAAACCCTAAACCCTAAACCCTAAACCCTAAACCCTAAACCCTAAACCCTAAACAATAAACCCTAAACCCTAAACCCTAAACCCTAAACCCTAAACCCTAAACCCTAAACCCTAAACCCTAAACCCTAAACCCTAAACCCTCAACCCTCAACCCTCAACCCTCAACCCTCAACCCTCAACCCTCAACCCTCAACCCTCAACCCTCAACCCTCAACCCTAAACCCGAAACCCTAAACCCTAAACCCTAAACCCGAGCGCTGGTGTCAGGTTTTGCTGCACCATGTCGTGACGGGTGTCCAGGCCAGCCTGCGATGCCGGTATTACCCTTTTAGGGTTTAGGGTTTAGGGTTTAGGGTTTAGGGTTTATGGTTTGGGATGTTCCCCTTATACGAACAGTCCTGAGTAGGGAATATAGTAGGGGGTGCTATAATCCCTATTAAGGAATGTTAGTATAACAGTATAGTAGTCACAATCATGGTAGCAACTATAAGAAGAGCAGTCAAGAACAAGCCACTGCAAACCAGAAAAGAACAAAGGCATGACCCAGAAGCATTGGACTATTCAGATCATGGCAGTGAGCAGGGAATCAGGGACAACGGTAGATTTTGTAACCTCATCGAGGCTATGATGCCAGGGGGTGCCGAAGTTCCCAAGCCTCCCCCTGAACCCTAAACCCTGAGCCCTAAACCCTAAACCCTGAACCCTAAACCCTAAACCCTAAATCCAAACCCTAAACCCCAAACCCCAAACCCTAAACCCTAAACCCTAAACCTAAACCCTAAACCCTAAACCCTAAACCCTAAACCCTAAACCCTGAACCCTAGACCCTAAACCCTAAACCCTAAACCCCTTGTAAGAGCCAGAAGCAAGAGCTTGTGCTTTCCTCTCAGTCCACGGCGGCCATGCCCGCCGGCGTGACACTGCAAGCACTGGGTGGAGGCTGGGTTTAGGGTTTAGGGTTTAGGGTTTAGGGTTTAGGGTTTAGGGTTTAGGGCTTAGGGTTTAGGGTTTAGGGTTTAGGGGCTAGGGTTTAGGGGTTAGGGGTTTAGGGTTTAGGGTTTAGGGTTTAGGGTTTAGGGGTTTAGGGTTTAGGGGTTCAGGAATCAGGGTTCGTTCTTGCCTTGCGTGTTTTTTGTCCTGCCTGCTTTGCGATTTGCGAGAGCATCCTTTGTGAAGGTGCGCTGCTGGTGACGCAGCCTCTCCACTGCAAGCAGAGAGTTGGTCCCCAAACCGGGTTGCCGAGTTGAGAGAAGAAGCCTTTGAACCCAACGTCAAGTGTCAATTTGCGCCTGGAAGGAACAGCCCCCTCAAGGCCGGAAGTGGCGATCCTTGGGGGATCTTGTGAGCTTGAAACCTTTGACTCTTTGTGATCACCTTCCTGATACCTCTGAGCGACTGCTGTTGCAGATCGATTCGGTGTCTACGGCCAGTGCCTGACTGCTGTGGTGCTTGCTGTGGTACTCCTTGATGTTCCGAGTGTGGGCCCTTCAGCTTCACGTGCATGCAAGTCAGGTCATAAGTCCGAATGTGCCAGCCAGCAATGGCGTGCTGCACGTCATGGATGCAGTCATCCTCCCAAGTGGCCGGGAGCTTAAAACCCAAGCGTGCTGGATGCATGCCTGTTGATGCTTCATTGCCTCTGACATGGACAACTGAACTGGCTAAGCATGCTCGAACGTGTGAGACGTTGGAGGCTTCGTGTATCCCGACAAGACGCTGCAACTCCTGGAACGGGCCTCAGTGGCAAATCGAGAAGTGCATCAACATACAGAGAGAGAGAGAGAGAGAGAGAGACAGAGAGAAAGAAAGAAAGAAAGAAAAAAGAAAGAAAGAAAGAAAGAAAGAAAGAAAGAGAGAGAGAGAGAGAGACAGAGATGGAGATAGAGACAGAGATAGAGAGCCGCTAGCAGCACGAGAGTACAAGGAGGGTGCTGAAGTCATGAGACTGAGAGCATGCCGCACTCTGCCTCCAGGTTCAGCAATCTCCAGAACTGTCGCTTCTAGCAGCGGCAGCGTCTACGAGCAGCGTGTCGTCCCTCCTGTCAGGACATCCCTGAGAAACATTGCGATGTTTGTGGTTTAGGTTTGGGGTTTAGGGTTTAGGGTTGAGGGTTCAGGGTTTAGGGCTTAAGGTTGTGAACGCTGGCTGCCAGGAAGTACCGCGTACACCCTCTTCGCACCGACGAATGAAGCCTTTGAGAAGCTGGGAATTGGTGTGGCCAGTTCACTGCTGATGCCAGCCAACCAGGCCCGGTGATACCTGGACCTATACCCTACGCTGACTTCAGCGTTGTGTTGTTTAGGTCTCATAACCTTTCTTACGACCCCTACCCTAAAGGGGGTTCGGTAGTCCCAAGAAGGTCAAATAAGCTCTCATGGCCACCCTTTAGTTCCCAAGAGGTCTTGTGTGGGACCCCATGGTTTAGGGTTTAGGGTTTAGGGTTTAGGGTTTAGGGTTTAGGGTTTAGGGTTTAGGGTTTAGGGTTTAGGGTTTAGGGTTTAGTGGCTTGGGGTTGAGGGTTTGGAGCGCATGACAAGAGATCGGGCATGATGGCTTCGGGATTCCTCAGCTAAACCCGATTCCTAAGCCCTAAGCCCTAAGCCCTAAGCCCTAAGCCCTAAACCCTAAACCCTAAACCCTAAACCCTGAACCCCTAAACCCTAAACCCTGAAAGTTGTCCCGTGACAGGACAAGCTGACGCAGGTTTTGCGGTATCATTTTCTGCAAGGCCTCGTCTACTCGCGATGTGCGTTTGTGAGGGTACACGTGATGGATGCCTGGATGAGTAGGGTTTAAGGTTTAATCAGGGTTTAGGGTTTGGGTAGGGTTTAGGGTTTGGGTAGGGTTTAGGGTTTAGGGTTTAGGGCTTGGGGCTTAGGGCTTAGGGTTTAGGGTTTAGGGTTTAGGGTTGAGGAGACATTGTGAGTCTTTCCACGCCGCACGCATCAGGTGGCCTCGTGCGGATGGACTTTTCAGCGAACACGGCTGTCCAGACTGTAGAGCAAAGTCTGCTCAAGATCAGCTGCTTAGCCGAGATGGGTATGTTGGGTTTAGGGTTTTGGGTTTAGGGTTTAGGGTTTAGGGTTTATGGTCTAGGGGGAAAATCAGGGGTGCTCCGTATATACCCCGAGTATAGTATGGCCCGCCCTTACAAAGCGACCAAGCCCCACAAATCAAAAGGTAACCCAATTTTAAGAGAAGCCTCCCAGCGCCGAATTGAGCCTTGAACCTTGCAAGGGCTCATCAGCTTTTGGTAGCCAGAAGCCCTAAACCCTTAACCCTAAACCCTAAACCCTAAACCCTAAACCCTAAACCCTAAACCCTAAACCCGTGGCAGCCACCACGGCCCAAGCCTTCATCACTGAAGCGCCTAAATCGAGGGCTTTCGGGTTCAGGAGCTCCTGCCCACGATTTCCAGGTTCTGTGAACCCACTCATTGTGGATGATACCGCCGGTGTCAGAGTGGAGGATATCCCGGCCAGAAACTCATGGGAGGGTTTAGGGTTGAGGGTTTAGGGTTTAGGGTTTAGGGGGGGGGCAGGGCTTGGGGGGTTGGGGGGGCTAAACCCTAAACTCTGAACCCTAAACCCTAAACCCTAAACCCTAAACTAAACCCTAAACCCTAAACCCTAAACCCTAAACCCTAAACCTCAAACGGGGTTTAGGGGGTGGGGCAGTTTCGGTGATCCGGAGAATGGCCTAGGCCACCAACGGTGTCATGCACATCGTGAACAAGGTGCTTCTCCCGCCTCCTGGCAGCAGCCTAGGGGGGCCTCATATGAAACCCTAAGCCTCAAGCAATAGAACGCTAAGCAAGCCCCAAAACCCTGGGCCCTGAACCCTAAACCCTAGACCCCAAACCCCAAACCCCAAACACCAAACCCCAAACCCTAAACCCTAAACCCTAAACCCTAAACCCTAAACCCTAAACCCTAAACCCTAAACCCTAACCTCGGACAGAACCCCCCCAACCGAAGTGTTGAAGCCGAGGCCTGGCTTCCGCTTTCCAGATAAGGATGTCGTGCTCCTTGTCGGCAAAGGGAGGGGGGGCATGGGGTTGAGGGTTCAGGGTTCAGGGTTTTAGGGTTTAGGGTTTAGGGTTCAGGGTTTAGGGTTCAGGGTTCAGGGGTTATGTATGGCTTGGGGTCGATTCTGGGGTAGTCTCGGACTGCCGTGAATGATTAGGCATTAAGCTACCCTGAGATGGAGATGGAAATGCCCTTTGGATAACGATACATATAATAAAAATACATGTATGCATATTGACGTGCATAGTACCTGTATATGTACAGTAGACACTACAGCTTCCTTTCTATGGAACTTCATGTTTGAGCGGAGCACTGTTGGGGATGTGGGAGGCAGCTGGCGGACAGCACGGCGTCGCTGTCCACGTTCAACACGCTGGTCGCCCTCGCCGGGCTCCGGAGCGACTTCACGGCCGAAGGCCGCGCTATCAGTGCCGCACCTTGTGGCTCCGGTCCCCCTAAACACCAAGCCCTCTTGGGCGACAAGAATTCGAAGCCTGCCTGGTGCTCGGAGGCCCTTACACGGTGTTCGCTCCCACGGATGCCGCGTTTGCGGCTCTAGATAAAGCGACCCTGGAGGTGGGCTAAAAAGTTGCTTGAGCTGTTGTAAGAAGCGATCTGGGGTTTCCGAAGTAAGGGTACCTTCTTGGGCTCGTTGTGAAAAGGGAATCTTACTCTTTGGGGTCTATATCAGGGGTCCCTTGTTTTTGCAAGCCGCCATGTGCCATGATGTAGGCACTGCAGCAAGCTGAGAACAAGAACTTGCTTCAGCGGGTGCTCAGATATCATGCTCCGCGGTTGCACGTGAGCTGCCTTGCTGCCTTGACTGGTGGCGAGAATGCAACACGGTCCCTGAACCTCAAGGCTGCAACCAGGTAACAAGCTGTTAGGGTTTAGGGCTCAGGGGTATAGGGTTTGGGGGGCTATGGGTACTGTATAAATGGTCCCGAAACGATCGTGGAATCCTGACCTGTGTTCAACACCAGCAAGGTCATAAGCGGCAGAACAGACAGCACCTTGCTGAGATATGGTGGGGGCCTTGGTGCACACGGGGGGGGGGGGGTTTGATCTACTTTCTGGGCCTGCTTTCTGTACCCTAATCGGGAATGTACTGAAACAGAGACCGCAAGTGAAGTGTCCAGAGAGTTGGTCATGGCCCCCCTTCAGCGACTTGCGGTAATGGCCACAGCTGATCTCCGCGCGTCACGAGGTAGAGACATCCAGACAATCGAGGCTCGATGAAGCAGTCTCTGCTGTACATAATGAGGGCCTTCTTGGGCTCCATGGGCCATGACCTGATTCATGGCTTTTTTGGGTACAGCACCCCAAATGTCAGCCGAAGAACCCATGATCTAGAGAACTGTCCAGATGTTCTCGTGGCTCCGCATGCTAACCCTAAACCCTAAACCCTAAACCCGAAGCCCTAAACCCGAAACCCTAAACCCTAAACCCTGAACCCTCGACTAGAAACCCTAAACCCGGCGCAGGGTGGCATGATCAGAGTCACGCCTTGGACCGAGTTGGGCTGGCAGGGCGTGGCTTACCAGAGGTGCGGGTGCCTGGAGCAGTCACCACGTTCCCTCTTTCGGTGGCTCCCATTGTGGTACGGATCCAATGAATTTCGGGAATGGTGTCCCTCAACCCTAGGCCCTAAGCCCTAAGCCCTAAGCCCTAAACCCTAAACCCTAAACCCTAAACCCCAAACCCTAAACCCTAAACCCTCAACCCTCAACCCTAAACCCTAAACCCTAAACCCGGGTATCATCCGGACTGCAGCCGCTGGACATAGGTTTCAGCCCTAAACCCTAAACCCTAAACCCGAAACCCTGGACATAGGTTTCAGCCTCCTGTCACCCTGAACACGGACGTTCAAGTCTCCACGGAGAATGCCTTGGCAACGAGCCTGAGCTGCAGGGTTTAGGGTTTAGGGTTTAGGGTTTAGGGTTTAGGGTTTAGGGCTTAGGGCTTAGGGTTTAGGGTTTAGGGTTCAGGGTTTGCGGTTTAGGGTTTAGGGTTTAGGGTTCAGGGTCGGGTATGAGCGTTTCCGAACCTTTTTGGGATCCTACGGTGGCTGGATGGAAATCTTGCACCATTTTTCAACATTCCATCCGGTCTGGGAAGCCTTTGACACCGACTTGTTCCCACGGCCAGAAGCTTGCACCACCTGGCAAGCAACACCTGCCAATGTTAAAAGGGGGTGCCGTAAGTGTCAGAAGTGTCGCTTATATAGGTGGTCCAAAAAATATCGTCCACGTACCGTACAATAGGGATGATAGAGCTTCGGGGTATATTGGGGGTAGCCCTGGCTTGGGGGATGCCCGTTTCCTTACGTGGCTGAAGCACTATGCCCGAAATCGGAAACCAGCTGTCCCCACGTGGGGTCTAATCCTGCTCCTACACAGCAGTGGTGCTTTTCTTTTGGCGGTGGAATCTAGGTGGAGTTGCAGGTGCATCATCCAGGGTCTAGGGTTTAGGGTTTAGGGTTCTCTGAAAGGCAGAAGAAGTTTACTGAGCATGGTCTCGGCTGAGATGATGCATGACTATGATGTCTTCGCTTGTTGGGATCGGTCTCGTTTCGATGGACGCTGACAAGCGTGCTAGGCGCAGGGGACTCCAGCAGAGGGTAAGGCTGGTAAGGTTGAAGATATTTGTGAAGTGACGCTACGAGGTAGGGTTCGTAGTGCAGTTCTGGCAAAACCCTAAACCCTAAAGCCTAATTCCTAAACCCCAAACCCTAAGCCCTAAATCCTAAACCCTGGTGGGTATATGTAGGGCTCTATAGGGATGTTGGGTGAGCGTAGCTTGGGCACTCTGAGAAGCACCAGAAATACGGACCTTGCTTCACATTGACCTGACATCTGTCACCAAGGAATGGAATTGTGCATTTCGTCAACAAGGCACGGGTTTGTAGAGTCTGAACCCTAAACCCTAAACCTTGAACCCTAAACCCTAAACCCCAAACCCAAGAACCCAAAACCCTAAACCTTTTCTTTAAACCCTAAGCCCTAAACCTAAACCCTAAACCTTAAACCCTAAACCTTAAACCCTAAACCCTAAACCCTAAACCCTAAACCCTAAACCCTGAACCCTAATCACTAAACCCTAAACCCTAAACCCTAAACCCTAAACCCTAAACCCTAAACCCTAAACCTTAAACCTTAAACCCTAAACGCCAACCATCGAAGCTCACCTGGAAGCTTTCCTGGGGAAGGTGCTTCTTCCGCCTGGCATGCAAATCGTGTCCGAGGCCGGGGTTCAGAGGGCCTTCAGGGGATGTTCGGGTTCCACCCTCGGCTCTAAACTCGAGGGTTTAGGGTTTAGGGTTTAGGGTTTAGGGTTTAGGGTTTAGGGTTTAGGGTTTAGGGTTTAGGGCTGTGGTGGTTTCCTGCGCGTGCTTTCCGGTTGTTGGCCATGGAGAATGATAGCGAATGCCGTTCGAAGGGCCATGATGCCAAGGGCACGTTTGAGAAACAAGCGTGCGAAGGGCGAAGGGCCAGTGTTTGCATTCCAGGCCAGAAAGGCTTGTTTTGATTGAGAAGCGGCTTGCCAGGCAGGTATGGACGATGGTGACGACGACGGCATCATAAGAGTTATGACCAATGGTGCGACATGTTCCGAGAAAATTGCCAACACGCTGGCAGGCGCGTTTGCAAGAGTTCTTCAGAGACTGATTGCAGATGATCAGCAGTTCATGCTTGCGACTTGCCTACAAGCAACTTGGAAGGTCTCGTTTTGCTGCTGAGCTTGGCACTTCTGTGAATCAGTTTGGGCTGCATGCAGGCGTCTGACATTGGCCACCACATTATAGTCTCTTATAGTCCGTTATGGTATACTAGGTATATTGGAGTGTATCATCGTCTTCGATTGCTTTAGTTGCATACTCTACTCCACGATAGTAGATGGCCATGATTGTAGCGTGCATCATAGCAACCTTCGTTTTGCGGCCTTTGCTTTGCGTTCCGTGCAGTCATCTAGAGCCGTCTACTACCAAAAAAAAGCAGCCGTCTGTTCGTGGCCCGAAGTGGCGACGAGACGGCCCCCACGTAGAACAGGCAAATTCCAAAGTTAGAGTGCCTTTGTGGCTTCGTCCTCTCTGCGGTCCTGTGTTCTAGACAAGGCCGCTGCTGAATCTGGGGGGTTTCTCGCGCGAAGCGCGAGAAGCTCGTGCGTGCTGCTAGGGTCAAGATTTTCCATTGTGGCCATGGCTCAGCACCAGGCTCCATCTCGCTAATAATTACTCTTGTCAGCAGGTCCATGCGACATTAATATGCTCGCATGGAAAGCTGTCTTATGTCAACGCATTCGTTGAAGGCAATTGCAAGCCGAAAGGACCAGATGATGGACTGTCTTGTGGGTCTCTGTTGCGGCAGATGGTTTTTGGATACCGCAAAGGTTCGGAGTCATCGTAGTCTGCCCACCAGCATCCTGGGAATTGAAAGGGGCAACTGACTAATTTGGATTTGGGAATGCCCAGGAAAGGCTTTTCAGGAGAGAGCTTGCACCAATACCAAACACAATGCTGCGACGTCGGTCTGGAACTGGCCCTCAAGGCCCCAGATCCTCGTTTAGGACTCCTTCCGCGAGTCCTAAAACCTAAACCCTAAACCCTAAACCCTAAACCCTAAACCCTAAACCCTAAACCCTAAACCCTAAACCCTAAACCCTAAACCCTAAACCCTAAACCCTAAACCTAAACCCTAAACCCTAAACCCTAAACCCTAAACCCTAAACCCTAAACCCTAAACCCTAAACCCTAAACCCTAAACCCTAAACCCCAAACCCTAAACCCTAAACCCTAAACCCTCAACCCAATCTTCGGGCACGGTGGGGCGAAGGGTGATTGCAGGGAGGGTCAGGATGGACTGGCGAAGCTCATCGAAGCTCCCGCCCGAGTTGACAGACCCTGGGACAGGGCGGAAACCACGTGAACCCGGCACAGCATGAACATGCGCATTGTAATAGTAATAAGAATAGTAATAATCATAGTAAAAATAATAGTAATAATAATAGTAATAATAATAGTAATAATAATAGTAATAATAGTAATAATAGTAGTAATAATAATAGTAATAATAATAATCAGCATGATAGTAAGTAAGAGTACGAATTGTCATCGTTATAGCAATACTACAAGAATATCACTACCACGACGACTTCTACTGCTGCTGCTGCTGCTGCTGCTGCTCCTACTGCTACTACTACTACTTCTACTACTGCTACTACTACTGCTACTACTACTGCTACTACTGCTACTACTACTGCTACTACTGCTACTACTGCTACTACTGCTACTACTGCTAAAACTGCTACTACTGCTACTACTGCTACTACTGCTACTACTGCTACTACTGCTACTACTGCTACTACTGCTACTACTCCTACTACTGCTACTACTGCTACTACTACTACTACTACTACTACTACTACTACTACTACTACTACTACTACTACTACTACTACTACTACTACTATTGCTACTACGACGACGACGACGACGACGACGACGAGGAGGAGGAGGAGGAGGAGGAGGAGGAGGAGGAGGAGGAGGAGGAGGAGGACGACTATTACTACGACTATTGCTACTACTAAAATAGAAGACATAATTGGGCATGTTATAGTAGTGAGTGATATTCATCTCAGTGAACCGCAGGGTTGTTAGACGTCAGGGTTCCTAGTATAAGGATGATCGTGTGCTTGTTCCTGGGAAACACGCATAGCAAGAGGGGGTGGGGGGGGATGAATCTGTCTGGCTCTTGCGCTTTGTAGCTGGACGACTCTTCAAGCTTCGTTGCTGAATCGGATCGTAGCTGCCACAAGGTTAGTTTAGAAAAAGTAGGATCTCTTGGTAGATACCCTGAATACAAAAACGGTGTGATATCAGGGATGCGCCCATACCTTAGAGAACTGACCACATGCTGTCTGCCGCCTGCTGGTCATTCATGTTGCAACTTCAGCTTCTGTACCCTGGGGACCAGAGAATCAGCGAAGCTTTGCTCGCCTTGGCTCGGAGTATGATCTTGCCAGTTCTCATTCGCACCTGCAGATCCGCATGCAAACGCTACAAGCTATGGTCAACGCATCTATCACAGCATCGCTGCACCGTGACAGCTTCCCGATTCAAGGGTTGGGGGAAACTTTCCTTCGACTCCAGTTCCACCCGGAAGATGGCAGGCGAGGAGTGTCTCCTGGGTTTAGGGTTTAGGGTTTAGGGTTTAGGGTTTAGGGTTTCCAAAGAGAACAGGGCAGCCGCCCCACGCTCAAACGAGCTAAGACTCATACGTGCGTTTTATAACATGGTAGCCGTAGAAGCGGATGTGTTTAGGGTTTAGGGTTTAGGGTTTAGGGTTAGGGGGGTTTAGGGTTTAGGGTTTAGGGTTTAGGGTTTAGGGTTTAGGGTTTAGGGTTTAGGGTTTAGGGTTTAGGGTTTAGTTCAGGGTACTCGCAAAGAGTGACACGTTGCATAGGGCATAGAGTTGATTTTAGCAGAAGCCCTAAACCTTAAACCTTAAACCTTAAACCTTAAACCTTAAATCTTAAACCTTAAACCTTAAACCTTAAAACTTAAACCTTAAACCTTAAACCCGAAACCCTAAAACCCCTAAAACCCTAAAACCCTAAAACCCTAAAACCCCTTAAACCCCTTAACACCCCTTCAAACCCCTCAGACCCAAAACCCCCCAAGAATCCCAAACCCCCAACAACCCCCCAACACCCCCCAACAACCCAAAAACCCCAAAACCCCAAAACCCCAAGCTCCTTCCAGGCACCATGGAACCTAAACCCTAAACCCTAAACCCTAAACCCTAAACCCTCAACCCTAAACCCTAAACCCTAAACCCTAAACCCTAAACCCTAAACCCTAAACCCTAAACCCTAAACCCTAAACCCTAAACCCTAAACCCTAAACCCTAAGCCCGAAGCCCGAAGCCCTAAGCCTTAAGCCCTAAGCCCGAAACCCTAAACTCAACCTCCAGGCACCATGGACCTTGCCTTCGCGACCCTTCAGCAGCCGCCGAGGCCTTCTCTGCACTTGCGGGAATGAAACCTTTTGGTTTTAAGAGGCTTTGAGTGGTTTAGGGTTTAGGGTTTAGGGTTTCGGGTTTAGGGTTTAGGGGTTCAGAGTGTGTTTTCCGGGTTTAGGGGTTTAGGGGTTCAGGGTGGGTTTAGGGGTTGAGGGGGCTTTAGGGGTTTTTAGGGGTTTTAGGGGTTTTAGGGGGTTTAGGGTTTAGGGGTTTAGGGGTTTAGGGGTTTTAGGGGGTTGAGGGGTTTACGGCTTTCAAGGGTTTAGGGATTCTAGGGCTTTGTACCATTTTCGGGTTTTAGGACTTAGGGAATTCGGGTTGAGCTGTAGGGGTTTAGGGCTTAGGGCTGTAGGGGTTTAGGGCTTAGGGCTTTCGGGGTTTAGGGTTTCGGGGGCTGGCAAGAGATGCCGTTGGTACGAAAATCTCCGGCGCATTAGTGTATGCCGGTCGCTTCGGTGTCAAAGCCTAATACCCCAAAACCCTAAAACCTTAAAACCCTAAAACCCTAAAACCCTAAACCCTAAAACCCTAAACCCCAAGCCCTAAACCCCAAAACCCTAAACAACCCTGAACCCTAAACAGCCCGAAACCCTGAACCCTGAACCCAAAACCCTAAACCCTAAACCTTAAACCCTAAACCCTAAATCCTAAACCCTAAACCCTAAATCCTAAACCCTAAACCCTAAAGCCTAAACCCTAAACAAAGTGCCAGGGTGGCGCCTCCGCCCCTCACGTCGGTTGGCACGAGCGCAGCCACCAGCATCGCCCCGCAGGTGGCGATTGGGGGTCAAGGGGGGGGGAAACTGGGGCCTTAGGGTTTAGGGTTTAGGGTTTAGGGTTTAGGGTTTAGGGTTTAGGGTTTAGGGTTTAGGGGTTTCCGCGGTTGGTTTTCGTGGTTTGGGGTTTAGGGTCACGGGTTTAGGGTTTAGGGGGCTTTGTGGTTCGGTGATGCTGTTGTGGCCGCTGCCGTTGTCGTTCTTGGATTTTGTTTTCCGTGTGCTATTAGGTTTAGGGTTTAGGGTTTAGGGTCTAGGGTCTAGGGTTTAGGGTTTAGGGTTTAGGGTTTAGGGTTTAGGCAGAGTTTTCATACCAGACGCTTGTGGAAGCACTCCAAACACTACTCGGAACCTCCAGACAGGACCTAGTGCATGCAGCAGTCCAAGCTACTCCTCACATCTCCTCGTCTGTGGGTGGGGAACTATGCCCTCAACCCTAAACCCTAAACCCTCAACCCTAAACCCCAAACCCCAAACCCTAAACCCTAAACCCTAAACCCTAAACCCTAAACCCTAAACCCTAAACCCTAAACCCTAAAACCCTAAAACCCTAAAACCCTAAGACATGAAACCCTCAACCCTAAACCCTAAAACCCTAAACCCTAAACCCTAACACCCAAGCCCTAAACCCCAAACCCGAAACCCTAAACCCTAAAACCCTAAGCCCTAAACCCTAGACCCTAAACAGGCCAACTTCGCAACCAAAGCATCCGCGGTGGTCTTGGGGGCCGCCGTCCTGGGTGCTCGCCGCTTGAGGCAGGGGGCATTCCAAGGGCTCTTGAAGCAACGGTCGATGGGGAGTTTTAGGGTTTAGGGTTTTGGGGGTTTTTGGGATTTAGGATTTAGGGTTTTGGTTTAGGGAGTTTAGGGTTTCGGGTTTAGGGGGTTTAGGGTCTAGGGCGCATGCTTTTTAGGGCCGCTTGAGGGTTTGGGGTGTCAACTCAGACCCACATCTTGGACAGGCTGCCGCGATCCGGAAGTATGAAAGGTCAGAAGATCGTTCGTCAGGCAGGGTGCCGTGTTGAGTGAGGTGCCTGGCTCCGATCCTGGCCAACGCACCCAACAACCCTAAAACCTAAACCCCAAACCCTAAACCCCTAAACCCCAAGCCCCTAAACCCCAAACCCCAAACCCCCAAACCCTAAACCCCAAACCCCAAGCCCCTGAACCCCACACCCTGGACCCTAAACACCTTCGAACAGTCCTCCGCTTCTCCTCATGGTGTCTGATGTCTGGTTGTTCAGGTCATCCCAGCAAGTCCATGTCTGTCACAGTACCACCAAAGATTGCATATAGAACGTAAGCGCAACATCTCAATCTAACATATATATATATATAGATTGCAGTTTATGCCAGTAGAAAGAAAGTGTAAACCACACATATACATCAGGAGTGAATGAGGAATGAAGACAAATAAATGAGAACACCGGGAAAACAAAGAAACAAGTAAACACATAAGTAGAAAAGGTCAATAAACAGGTAAATAAATAAATATAAAATACATGTGTATATACACACTAGCATAAACGTATGATGAAACATAAACACACATGCAAGAGTATTCATACATGTGAGAATATAGAGATACATATAACGATAAGCATATATCAATATAAAGCCACTACGTATTCACAAGTAGAAGCAAACAATAATATGTATGTATGTATGTATATATATATATATATATATGTAAATATGTGTATATATATATATATTTTCTGCGTGTATGTATAGTTATGTAGCTTTGAACTTAATAAACATATCAGCAAAGACACAAACATATGTGTACGTGCATACGATCTTGGCACCCCTCCCTGGCCGGAGCGATGACAGAACAGACCTCCCGGCATCAACCAGAAGTTCTAGAATGGAGCGATGGCGTTGCACGCAGAGCAGCTCCATGTCGCCTTCCTTGGAGGGAACCGCATGGCCGTGTCCTGGGCTCCCCGGTTGAAGGAGCGCGGCAGACCACGCATCACTTGTAGCGAGATGCAGCAGGATGTAGATACATGAACACATATCAATATACACAAAGTACTATTCTAGATAGTGCAGAACGATGCCGAACGATGCACGCCAGCTTACCCAGGCGAGTCCCAGTGGCCAGATCGCCGACGTGGAGTGGCCTGGCCGCTGTTGGTTGCTGATCGGACGCCTTAGCAGATGAGAGCCCCCAAAGAAGAGCCCCCCAAAAAAGAAGCCCTAAAAACGAGCCCCCAAAACGGAGCCCCCGAAAAAGGAGCCCCGAAAATCGAGCCCCCCCCTCGGAAGGAACAAAAGGAGCCCCCTAGTTCCCCTAAACCCTAAACCCTAAACCCTAAACCCTAAACCCTAAACCCTAAACCCTAAACCCTAAACCCTAAACCCTAAACCCTAAACCTAAACCCTAAACCCTAAACCCTAAATCCTAAACCCAAAACTCAGGGCCTAGGCAGCCCGCTATCGATGGCGCAAGCCGACCCAGGTCGCTCGCCCGGTAGCACTGGTGCCTGTTTATAAAGCCTGTTCTTGGGACCCCTCGCCGCAGCGTGCCCAATCCGGCCAGGCAAGGCGGTGCTCAAAAACCCCCCCTGCCCTCCCCCAGCCCCTGGCTTCCCTGACCCCTGACCCCCCTGCCCTCCTGGCCTCTGTGAGTCTAGGCCTAAACCCTAAAAGGAATAGGTCTGGGTGGCTTTGCCGCCTCGAAGCGTGGGGTGGGAGAAAAGTGTTAGATGGCCCTCCACAATCGGGCCAAAGCTGCTCTTCGCACCTCACGAAGCTTTCGAGCTTGTTCCGAAACCTAACCTTCACAGCACCTACGCCCTATCACATCAAACCCTAAACCCTAAACCCTAAACCCTAAGCCCTAAACCCTAAACCCTAAACCCTAAACCCTAAACCCTAAACCCTAAACCCTAAACCCTAAACCCTAAACCCCATGCATCCAACCTCCCTGGGTCGAAGGATGCAGCAGCTTGGAGCGATGCTGGAGCCCGTCCCTGGCTCAAAGAGATTCTACAGGCCGGGTTTAGGGTTTAGGGTTTCGGGTTTAGGGTTTAGGGCCAAAGCGAGCAAGAGCTTTGAAGCGGGGTTTTGCAAATAGGGGTTCCTACAACAAGGATTCTCGTACTTGTGGGAATTTTGGGACCAGCAGGCCCGAGACGGCCCAGTACGACATTCTTTGTGGCCCACGTTTTGCAGCCCGCTGCAAGCTGACGACGAGGCCGGGATCGTGTCGGTTCCCCCCCCCCCCCCCCCCCCCTCCCCGCCCTGCCTCTTTGGCTCCTGCGATAGACGGTGCACCCATGCCGCCAGTGTGGCTAATACTCTCCACCGTAGGGAATTAGGTACTTTGCATCCCTCTAAATACCCCTCGATCTAAGGGATTAGGGTACCTCAATCCCCGATTCAGAACCAGAAAGGCTAGCCCAGCACTTGTTGGGTCCTGGGCTTCGCGAAAAAAGGTACAGAAGCCCACTGCTCCTGCATGCCCAAGTGCTGGTGGAGCCTGCGGTGCGCTACCGCGGCCTGGCGCCATCTTGCCATGCTACATCTTCATAGGGAATGAGGGAATGAAGGTAATATCGCCCTGATATTACCCTTGAAGGGATCATACAGGGGTGCGAATTCCCCAGAACTAGTCAGACATTTCGTCAAGATTGAGGGCAAGAAGAAGTGCCAGAAGGTTCACTGCGGCGAAGTCGTGCGCTTCTGCTCCAAGGCTATCGACTCGTGTCCAACCACACGGGGGACGCGACTTCCTGGCGAAGGCTGCTGCTTGGCAGGCTTGGCAGCCCTAGGCCTTACACCCCAAACCCTAAGACAGTGGAGGGAGTGATCTGGACCCGAACCCCAAACCCGAAATCTGAACCCCAAATCCAGCCTAAACTGGCTGTTGTGATCTCGGGAACCTAGCTCATGGCGCCTGTGCCTGTTAGAACCAACTTGCCAACTCCGCCCAAACCCTCAACCCCCCTCCCCAAAAACGAACACCCCCGTACTCCGGACTCGAGCCCCAACCCAAACTCCTGTGAGTCGAAGCCCGAAACCCTAAATCCTAAGTAAGGTCCAGCCCCCAAGTTGTAAGCCCTAAGCCCTAGGCCCTAAGCCCTAAACCCCAATCCCCAAACCCTAAACCCTAAACCTAAACCCTAAACCTTTCAAATGGCATCTTGCTGAGGAAGGGCCTGCCGAAGACCGGCGAGGAGCTCAAGGTTGCTGTAGTAGGCCGGAGTGGGTTTGATTGGTTGTTCTTGGGGTCTTTTGGTTTTAGGGTTTAGGGTTTGGGGTCTAGGGTTTCGGGTTTAGGGTTTAGGGTTTTATTGGTTGGTCTTGGGGTCTTTTGGTTGTTTTTTGGTTGGGTGTGGTTTTAGGTTCCTTTTTTTAGCGTGTTCTTGGAAAGTTGTTAGGAGGTTTTAGGGGTTCATGGGGGCCTTAACAGGGACGATAAAATTGTGATATCTTGTTTTGGAAAGTACACCACAAACTATTTTACAATGTGTGCTCATGCTAAGAGACCTTCAGGTTGGAAGTCTCAGGGGAGACGAAGCGTCTCTTGTGTGGGTTTAGGGTTTAGGGTATTTAGGGTATTTAGGGTATTTAGGGTATTTAGGGTATTTAGGGTATTTAGGGTATTTAGGGTATTTAGGGTATGTAGGGTTGGGTTTCGGGGTCCATGATTCTTGCGACGACAGGCCGTAACACAGGGGCCGCCCCGTCCCCTCTCAGAGCCTAACATTCGGATTGCGACATCGGGGTCTTGAAGGCTTAGGGATGGCTGATACGGCTGATGCAACGCAACTTTCTTCAGGCAATTCACGAAGAGTGATTGCAGTGAGATGGCGTTGAACGCCGGTTCGGGCTGTGACTGGAAGTCGTTCCTTGCTGAAGAAGCCTTGTTCCTTAAATAGGGTCCTTAGATGTGCAACAAACTGGTGAATCAATGTCGGCTTCGTCAGGTGACCTCGGCCAGACCAGCTTCAGTGAGGCCACCTGCCGCGACGTGGCGCGCGTGCATGCCGAAGAGGGGCTCGACTTGGGCGTGCTGCTAGGCGCGGGCCAGGGTCAGGGTTTAGGGTTTAGGTTTAGGGTTTAGGGTTTAGGGTTCAGGGTTTAGGGTTTCGGGTTTCGGGTTTAGGGTTTAGGGTTATTTGTTGGAAACCTGCCGCAAGCACTCGGTGTGAAAAAAGGTTCTGACGATTCTTGATTGAGTGTGTCTTGATGCTCTTGTCAAGCCATCGCCGGAGGCGATCTGTCCTACGCTGACACGAATGCAAGCAGGCGGCCCTGGCTACGCACGTGGTGGTGTCCGCTTTCTGTTCCACATGGGCAGTTCTCTACAGCATGGCTCCTTCTGGGGTTCCTGTCATAGTACGGAGCCTTACATCTTCGGGCACCCAGCAATGCATCATATGTAGAGAACTGTGCAGATGCTGCCAGAAGCCCTTGCTCCCCTGAGGTGGGATTCTTTTCAGCGCATGTTTGATGCATCGGGCTGTGCCGATATCCCCTGGGTGGTGCTGCCCGGCAATCATGACGGGCGTCAAGCTTCCATGGCACGGGATGTCCTAGTGATCAGTTCCGGTGTCAGTTCTAATCTAAGGCTCACTGAGTTTCTGAGCAGTGTCTGAATCCCCAAATCGAGCCCACTTGGGGTGACTGAGCCAGGAAAATGTTCAAGACAATCTCAGGAACAGCTTTAGGCCAGATACCCTGCCCTACCAACAACGATCGGAACCGTCAGCTTGCCATATTTCTTGGGTACAAACTCATAACATGATCCCACAATTGGCGCAACAGGGCACAATCTTGTCACGAGCTGCTGACCTATCTATCATTTCCTGAGATGTTAAACGGAAGTATCAAGTCCGGCGCATCTGCAATCGCCCGTCGCTGTGAGAAGCGCAGGAGATCGAGCCCGATGAGATCACAGGCGTTGAGATGAGATGCGGGGTTTCCGAAAATAGGGGGTACCCTTTTTTGGGGGTTCCAATAATGAGGACTATATGATTTTGGGGGTATATAAGGGG